TAATGTAAACCATATATATCCTAATGTAGAATAAGATTTTAGCCAATTGGTTTTAGGATAACGAATTATTTTCTTTTATATAAAAATTAATGTACGTTTTTATGGGTTTTCACATACGTAGTTTTGTTTTATTTCTTTTTGTATAAATTACAGTACACGAGTCACTTGACTTAAACACCTGGTTAGTAGATTTATAGTGTTTGAAATGTATTAATCAGTAAATTAAAAATTTGGTGAAATTCTATTACAAAGTAATATTTGACACACATATATAATATATATTTAAAATATATTTATAAAAATCATTTCACAAAAAGAATACAAGAAAAGGCAATTGTTTTTCTTTCAATTTGTGTTTCTCTCTTTTCTTGTTTTGTTTAAAAAGTAACACGACGTACAAGCAACGAGTTTATCCATTTAAACTTTAGGGCCTTTGCGTTGTTTTACTTTGAATCCAAGTTTAAAGTTTTGCATTCGTGCCAAAGAAAACAGACGATTTAGTCTAACATAAGTTTATATATCACCCAACGGCCGTGCAAGAATTGTGTCCTGGTTTCCGTTTCGGTTTAAAACCCTCCCTCTTGGTTTCTACTATATCTTTGGTGCGTCCAATGATCGTTCGAAAGGAATGTCTAGGTCAATATTACTCTAAATTTAACTACTATAATATACACACGACGCATGTATATTAAAATTACAATATTTTGTTTTTTAATCTGAATATATGAATTTTTAATTAGAATATTGTTAACGAAGTATGATCACACACCGTTTCGAATTTCTTATTTTTCTTTATTTTTAGTTTGATAACAAGATTTTTAAGATTACATCTTGTATATTGCATATTATTTGAATTTTATTTTATTTTGTTGCTGTTGGTAAAAAAATTATTACACAATTATGCCAAGAAAAGTTAATATTTGTTAATTATTATATCTATATGTTATATCCATATTGTAACCGTATTATTATAAACAATATTATAATATTACAAATAGAATTATGAAGAAAAATTAGATTATATCGGAATATGTGTGTGTTTTTACTTGAAATTAAAACTTATTTTTCATTTTACAATACTTACAATTAATTAATATTTTTAAATTCGATATTAAAACAACACTCGTTTAAGATGATTAAAAGAAAAAAAACATTTTCTGCGAATCATCGTCTCAATTTGTTACTTTAAAAGAGTTCAACTATCCACTAGTTGACCTAATGAAAGACACTTTGCGAAATTCCATCTCTTATATAAACATATAAATTTATCGTTTTAAATTCTTTAACGCATGTGCCAATAATAATGAATGTCGAGTTTCTAAGATCCAACTACAACGACGAAAAAGAAGAAGAAGAAGAAGAAGAAGAAAAAGTAAATTAAAACAAATAAAAAGATTAAGATAGAAGGAAGCTGCGGTTTGTTTCAACGAAGTGAATAAGCAAACGTCGTCACAGCTCTCTAAAAACCCGATCCAGGAGAGAAAAAAAAAAAAGAGATTCACCGAGAAACAACCTAGAAACCTACTTCAGGTTCAACCCGTTTAAACGTGAGTGAAAACACCTATATATATATATATATATATATATATATATATATATATATACACGTATATAAATGTTTTAACGTTAGTTGACATCATTTGTGTCACCATTATCGACACATATCACACTTGCTGCGTTTGAAAAGCAATTACTTTTCCTTTTATTATTATTATTATTATTATTATTATTATTATTATTATTTTTATTATTTTTTGTTTTCTTTATTC